GGAACTAATGAACCTTGACAACCACGGAGACAAAGCTACCATCAACTTTTCCAAGTGATTTCTTCCTTCTGCAAAGCTAAACATTGCATTATTATATGCTAAACATTATGGTCCGACAGTAGAAAACAGTCGCTGCAGGCTTCAAACTTCACGTGCTATACTTGCGACGCGATACACCATAGAGTTCCAATATTTTTAATAATAAAGGAGAACGCTACGGCTTCGTACACTCAAAATGCTATTTACTTCATAATAAACTGTACATACTATGTACAGGCGTTCGACAACACGGTGTTCAATATTTTTGATTAGAAATAAGAATTCTAATTAGAAATAAGTTTTCTAATTCTATGTACATCTTGACAGAGGAAATGTGTCCGGGAATATCCACACACCATGCTTAACTATGCAGAGTTACGGGCGAAAAGAAGAAGCTGTGCAGCTCAAATCCTTCCCGAACGATTAAATAATTATGGTAAAAAAAATCGTAAATTTATCGTACTGAGATATTGCAAATGTAAATCCTTCATAAAGATACTATGATGTCACGTTCTGTATATGCAATAGATACGTATCGCTATTTTTGTGGCAGTAGGTAATAACTGTGGATTACATTCTATAAACATTGTTGTTTGACAAATATAGACAACTTCTAACCGTAAGTAGATGTTTAGAGCCGCCTTGTAGTTCACTGCATCGATTAAATGCTTTCCACAAAAACTACTGAATTTTTCGTACGAGCTTTTCCTAGAGGAAGACAGTCCCGGCCTGGTACTTCCTCCGTGCCTGTCTTTTTTAGAAAAAAAATAACGGATATGAAATAATTGTTTCATTAATTTGTTGAAGGAGAAATGATAAGCTCGTATTTGCGTAGGCAGGTCAACACATAAACAACGTAAAGTTAACCGTTCCTACACGTTTGGCGTGAGGAAAGACGGGGCATTTTTCATCGCGTAGGTAAATGGTGCTGAGATACTTTACCCATCTGTAAGAATAATTGGTGCTCTCTAATTTTGTAAAATATAATTCGTTTTTGGAATATGCCCCGATATACAAGATTCATGTATACATCTTCGATCCTTGTATTTTTTCACCATTAAGGAGCTGTAACCATAATTCCTTGGACTGCGAGAAAACAATTTGCGGAACGCTTGTGTAGGGCCAAAAAATCAACTTCTATCTCCGCCGACTGTCTCACAGTTTAACCAATGGAAGTTGTAACGATATTCAAAATTATACTTATCTGTAGAAGGCACTGTAAAACTACTCGAGTGTATGGCAAATAAATAGGAAATGTATGGCTAGCATAAGAAATAGGTAACTGTATTTAGATATTTCAATATAAGACAATATTATTGAGTCTGGTTAGTTTAACAGGTGATCTTTTTAACTCCGTACACATACCGAGCTTGCCATTGAATAGAAGCGTTCCGTTAACACATAACAACGACAAATGCAGGGTTACTATTAAATGAAGAATCATAAGTTCAATCTTTGCACTCTGTGCGATTCCTCACCAGGTACGTAACCAGGAAATCTACGAAATGGATGTTTTTCTAGATCGGAGCTGTTTGGAGAATGCCAGTTATTATGTTCCAACAGTTAAAACTGCTCATCCAAAGTCTGTACGTGAAGGTTTGGCGGCATGTTTCTTCTATAGATATGAAATATTGTTCATAAAGTCTAAAAAAACTTCAGAGACACGTAGCCGGATCGAGGCCGACCATTGCAACGAGGTGTTATTCCCTTTTGTCGCTTGATTAAGGCCGTGTGTCATCATACAATGTTTGATCATCGCATCTAATCGTATGTGTGGCTGTATGCCTAGGCAACTTTATGATTAATGTATATATATTCATTATTTATAATAGGAACATTATCAACTTTTGTACCGAAAACTTTAATTGCATCAATTCTATAATAAATTCACTTGAGGATGAATGCTAGCTTTTTTTTTCTCTTTTTTACTTTAACGTGGTCATCAAGCTTTTGATTACCATTATGGCCTTTTTTAATGGACCTTCTATGCTGTTGACACAGTTAAAGAGTGTAAGGAGTGCAATACGGGGATCGGTATAGTTCTGCAGAGCTCCTTGTGTAAAACGGACATGAAGCCGTCCTTAAACCTGTGATACATAAATAGAGACAAAGCAAACACTTAATTGCTGTAGAAACATATTGACTTTTATTATTACAGAAAGCAAAATAGCGTTCTAACGTACTCACGTGTTTAAGGAAATCAAAAACAATTTGCACGATATTAGTGAGTGATCACCCACGTGCCAAAAAAAATCAAAAATACGTGAAAAGATTGTGGACGAAGTCAAAAGGGTGGAAATCTTCAGCACACGGTTTACTTTAGTTCGCATTAAATAGCTGTTATTAATGCAGCCTTTCAAGAAAAAGGCATCACTTTTCAATGAGAAATAAAAGTGGCTAATTTACTCAAAGTATCCTTCCGTAGTGGCTTTGGCAGAAAAAAAAAGGATTAGTTCGAGTAAAATAGCTTGATTTGAAAAAAAAATACATTTAGTGAAAAAATTCAAATAAATATGAATCAAAAAAGGACATATTTTCAATACAATTATTGAGATTAAATAATTAAATAAAATTTATAAACAAAATTTTGTTTAAACTAGCCATAAAAAAACATTATATATAAAGCCTTTTCTAATCTAAAAGGCAACTGCAAGTCTTCCCAATGTTAACCATGTAACCTCTTAGATTTACAACAAAAGAAATTATGTTCCGGCTGTTTGCTACGTCTGTTTATCCCTATCGCGTTCGACACTTCTTCTTAATGCTGAGTAAGATTACCTACAATCTACGATAAATGCTGCATTGCTTCGACGTTTATTTAATTGAACTTATTTGACCGATCTTTTTTCGCCTATCTAAGTTCTGCCGAAAAGATGAAGGTAGTGTCACGCCTGAACCTTGGCGACCGTCTGCCTCGTATGAATGTGTTGTGCTCTCTTAATTAAAGCGAGAAAATTACTGTCATTTGACCTTTCCGTTTTTTCCTTCTGTTTCGATACTATTCCTTCTGATAGCAAGCGTCCTTGGGATATCCTTTGCTATATTGTAAAATTATCTGAGGTATTATACCAATCGTCTTTGAACCCCTCTTAGAAGTTGATATAAAACCGCCCCCAGTCATAAGTGCTTCTTATAAGCGGGAACGTTTGCCTATTGAACATAGGCTTTGGCTGATCTGACTAAAGGCCTCTAGCAATTTTTTTTTTGGTAAGGATTTGGGCGTTTTTCATGCGTAACTAATGCACATCTCTTTAAGTACGTTGCCATGGTAATCACAATTAACTAGCATATTGCCACTTTGGTTCAAATCTTCCCATTCTCATTGGCAAAAAAATATTAGCATGCATAATACATTAACAATAAAGAAAATACGAGTGAAGAGAAAATAGGGACCGCGGAAAGATGTTATTAAGGTTAATAGCTGCTTGTATGGTTGCCATGCCGTTTCGTAGATCTGTTGAAGGCACCCCCAGGTAAGTCGAGGAAAACCCATTCCAATAAGTCTAATTCTATGCCTACAAATAGGCGATTCTTCTTACATATGATGAATAATTAATATCACTAGACATGAAAAAGTGTAGTACAAATAATATACATAGCCGAATACTGATCTCACACAAAAATATGTGTAGATATAAACTATCCGAGTATGTTTATTTCCATTACGGCTGAACAGTGAAAATGATCATCAATTGTTTCAGGTTTCTACTAATCATTAATCTTTTGGGATCGTCCACTTTTGTATGCGTTCACCTCATCTGACGCGGTGGATGTTTTTGTACGTAACTTTGGCTGTGGCTGTCAGCCATTTTGGTTGCAACATGCATGGTAGATTGGGTCTCAAACGTTGAACGTTTAACTTCTCGCACTTAGACACAATTCTATTTATAAAAACTATACATTCAGAGAATAGAAATCAACAAAACCCAACGACCAAAAATAAGAGTATTAATTAAGTTTACGGGCAAAAAATGACCTAACTTGACCTTTACAAATGTTAAGTTGTGCTTCATTTTTTATTAAAATGTTGATCGTGACGAAATAAACCTTGACGAAAGACAAGCATACGTAGATAAACTATACCAAGAGACCAATCAGTAATTACCACCAGATTATTATCACAAACATTCTTCTGGTCATTGACATGATTTTTACGTAGCATGAGAAACATAGTCCAACGATGTATTGCGTGCGCCCTCAACTGAAGCTTATTTTGGCTCTCCGTCCTCGTTACTACCGCTTGTTATGAACGACTTCCCTGAAAGACCGCAACGTAAAGGTATGCTACACGTTTGAGCCTGAATTTTTCAGAGTTATGCACAAATGTAATCCCACGCACTTGCACTTGTGGCTTCTGTATGGCCCAATTGAGTATATACAAGCCAAACCAGAGCATGTCCGAGTTAACAGCTTTTCCTTCCGACGGTTTCTAGCAATCTTTTCGAAATACAGCCAAGCTGATAAAGTTCCAGGATAAATACCTGGATTTGCCTTTGGTATTATGTAAGAGCACACTTGAAAATTTCGTTAACAGTTATTTTTACGATTTCGTTGGTTAATTAAGTTTTTTCAATTCAGTGTTCTTTTTATATGATTAAAGAACAAATAAGTTCTATGGTAAACGAAATTAAATTTCCGTCTAAAATAAGGAAAAATGAATGCATAAAAAGATAGCAGCGACCCTACGACGGACACTACGTACTACAGCCAGCAGACAACGTACGCCTTGCATACGTAACAATAGAATAGCATGATAAACGGACTTCTATCGATATCAGCTCAACGTAGCGCTGAGAACCTTGAATACGTTCTTCAATGTAGTGCTACCATAACCATTTTTATTTTGTTATTGACATAACATTGTTTGCGTGAACGACGAACTCCGCTAAATCAGCTGTTTATTGATTTTCAGAGATGAGTCTTTCACTTTTCATTAAAGTTTCGATTCTTTTTTATTTAAATATAAATAGAGATAGACATAACAGATAGTACAGAGATAATCAATTTTTAAAGATGTACATTAGCTGGCAGTGTATGGTGAAGTGGCTGAGAAACTTTTTTTTACTAGATCGGTCGTGCCAATTTGTATGGATGTACAAGGTGTAAGCGTATGGTACACAGCAACTCGAATCTTGATAGAACTCGTGGTCCTTTACCACGGGGGATCATCTGGATAGGGAGTACTAGAAACACAGTTTATTCAGGATTCGGAACAACAATTAGCTCCGGCGCAATAAAATGGCATTTGTGTGCTATAAAGGTCAGTGTATTTTCTTGTTATGTGAAATGTACAGTATGCACCTTCGACCTATACATTCTGATAATAATTACTGATCACTTTCGAATCGAGTTTACATGCTCTAGAAGAACCTGCCATCTTCTTCATAGCTGATACTGGATTTGCCCTCTTTTTTGATGCAGCGGTTGTAACGCGTTGATTTGCCAGGTTAGCTTTTCACGACCATGCTGATCTCCTAAACAAGCTCCATGAAAATATGGAATGTCATGTATTGATATCTTGGTTATAACATATTCCAGGTACTGGAAAGTCAGGATGTGCAATTGCATGATACAATAAAGGGCACCAAACTGAGGAGCCAACAGAGAAATACAAATATCTAGGAAAATAATTATTTAAAAATGTCTTATACAAACTCTATGCTACATAGTTACAAGTAAAAAAAACATATCTACCTATATACATATGTATATATATATATATATATATATATATATATATATATATATATATATATATATATATACACTTAGGTTTAAGTATCTTTACCTAACATTAAGTTAGAACGAAAATGTTTCTTGAAACGGGTAAATTAGTCATCAAAGGTATAAAGTTGAGCCTAATAATACTTATGTGTATACCTATGTATTACTTATGATCACGTTAACTTCGGCTTTAACTTTAAGCTTGTCGACATTTTTAGGATACAGTTTGAACAGACATTAACACATAGTTTATTAACACCGTTACATATGCTTGTTAAGATTATTTCGGTTCGGATGCTTCACTAGGTCGAACGCAAGCGTCTTTACCACCGTATGATTTAAGTTGGAAAGGATAAGTAATGATAGAGACGCGCTCGACTTAATTCATCGCGGACCCGGGGGCCAGTCATATGAATCATCTGTCAAATTTCGTAAAAAAACTTGCCACCTTTGCAACACGTGTTGCCATTGTAAGGGGAAAAGTTAAGGACAAAGCGCTCAAAATGCAATGAATAGAGGATGTGTGAGGAGGGTGTTGCCCTCGCTTTCAGTTTACCAAAAACATTCGAGCATCTCTTCGTAACGTATGATGACTATATTAATCTATCTGTTGTTCTAATGCGTTTTGGAATTTCGTATGTTTGCAGTAAACTTTGCCTTCTATGAGCTGACAAAGGACGTTTGGCAAACGCATAAACGACAGTAAATATGGTTGAATGTCTCCCTGTCCTCTAAATTTAGCGAGCAAAACTGATAGCGATTCACAAAGGATGAGGCAGTTTTAGTCCTAGGCTAGGCGGCCTAATCAGGCTCTAATCAAAACCGGCTTGTGGTAGCTAATTGGTATTAATCCATTGTTTGAACAAGCTGTTATTACACACTAACGTTTAATGAAAATGCCCAGTTAGAACGATTACCTATGCAGGAGAGACAGCTTCAAATAAAAAAAAAAGTCAGCTTTCAAAATACTCGACCAATAGTTCGTGGAAACCAGTAAATGGAAGCTTGTTTTTGAGTGCCTGTAGTTTGCCGCGAGTTGCCCAAAAGTTATGGTAATCGAAAGTAAAATAGTCACTTACCACTCCTTGAACGCTCTTCAAAAATCTTATTTGATATCAGACATATTTTGCATGATACTGTAGGGGGTCAGGGTTGAAGGTGTGCGGTGGTGTCCTGATAGGTCGCAACGTCATATCGGTAACCGTAAGCGTGGGACGGTGATTCTAGCGAAAGGAATATGGACTATATAGTGGTAAACGAAAGATTCTCTTGACGTATGGTAATATGCATCGAGTATTTTTTTTTTTACCACTGGACAGGACTGGTTTTGTCGCTCAGCAACGGCACGTAGTCGTGGTAGCGTATTGCTAGGCTAAAGGAAGCCTGCAGATAGTCGTTATGAGATTCAGGATTTGCGATATACTTAAACTGAATACTCGCTACGATACGATATAAGCTTTTTCAACCCCAGACGCTTTGAGTTGCGTACGACTCTAAGCTACAGTGGTTCACTCAAGATATGGTAATTTAAGATGAGCAACTGTGTACGTAATAGTAGTCGGTCCGAAAACGAATCACTCTAACCTTTAACAGGGTATCTAGTCTAGTTTCTATCCATCGTTACAATTTTAAAGTTAGGGGCTTAATTATTAGAAGCCATCGACGTCGGTAGCGCCCCTATTTCGGATACATTATCATGCTTTATGGCACAGCCATCTATTTTTGGTTAAGCGTCATTCATCCGAGACAAGTAGAATTCAGCTCCCCTTCACCTAACTGGGTAACTCCTTGTATGATATTTGACTTGTGTGAATTCCAATCACTTTTGCTTGGCTCCTTGCATTTACCTTACATTTGCTGAGAGCCAAATAATCGCGAAAGTTCCTCTGGTTAGAAAGCAAGTCGTATCGTGCTTGCTAAAATAGTTTTGCTCTTGGGGCAGCTGTTCTCGAACTTTGAAATACTTCTCACCCTCAAAACATCCGCTTATTACTTCGACGAGTTTCTAAGGTTTTCGTTGGGTCGCATTGTGGAATTAGTGATCACCCTGTACGCTCGCCGAGGCGGCTTGGACATTTGCTGCAACGATTTTTTTTTCGCTGTTGACTGAGGGTTCCGCGGACCCATTTTTGCTTTGTGACCAACAATGTGAATTTAGTGACGATAGCATGACGAACGGTTAGCTGAAGAGCTAGCTGCAAAGATGATATATTGTGTTATCTTGAATAAATAATCCGTAAAGGTTCACGTATGCACAATATGCGAGTGTGTAACAGTTACTTGTTTGAGTCTTCTTTTGCAGGAAACACACTGTCCATTTGAACCTTTTGAAATTTTCAAACTCCCTTTAAAGAAAGGTTAACGGTCAAAAAAAGCTAAACGCATTTGAGACTGGCATTCTGTTCCGACGCGATAATTGCCATTAAAAAAAAAAGTATTGGTTTTACGCAATTGTTCGGATCGCTGTTCACCGGACTAGAAGCCGTGCAGAGCTGAACGTTCAACGAGAGCAATAATGACGTGGTCATAAGTACCGTTACTAGCCCATTTCATCTTAGTACGTACGTCTTCGCCAACTATAACCCCGCTCATAACGGCAGCTATAAAATATGCGCAAGAAACAACTTTCTTTGAAGAAAGTTGTTTCTGAACGATTAACGACATCACGCACCGTTTTATTTTCTCTTCGTGAAGGAGACCAGTAGAAAATATCGGCCGCCTTTAGAAATTCGTTGCGTTTCGTTTGTTGTACACAAAACCCTAGCGTCGCCGCAGTACTTCCGAGTTGCAAAACCAGAGATCACGTACCTTTTTGAAGTGACCATTGATTACAACTTTGGTAAAAACATCGGGGCACTAAGATCCTCAAAACTATCCTACGTGTACTTATGGTGATTGTGAAGTCAAAAGCAATCTTGCAGATTCCAGCAGCTAATTGGCCGAGACGTCCTAAGTGAAAGCGAATGATAGTGTCTTGTCCAGCATTTCCATCAAGAACGTGAATGGAAGCTTTTCTGCCAGGGCAACCGCCCGTACTAAGGCGGCTCAACTACACCACCGCGATGTGCTCCAGGGAGCCCCTTATAAGTTCCTGCGCTTTAATCTCCGCATGGCCAATACGTCGGTTCCTAGCTCTCAGCGCGATCAGGTGCTGGTTAGAGATTAAGGGCTCGTCCTATGTATTCCTAAAAAGTACTCTAGACCCTCTATGAAAAATCGTAGGCATTTGTCTAGGACGTATTTGAAACTATTCACGTCGATGCCGACAGTTGATATGAGTAAGTGAACAAGGTACTTCTAACATAACTTCTAAACAATATATTATGCTCGAGCGATTGTATCTTAATGCCGGTTTAGGGCATCGCCTGTCAAGAAACAAAATTCGTTATGAGTTTAAAGTTCCGGAGAGCAACTTTTCTCATCATTCTGCTACGTCATTTGCTGGAATTGTTCTCCTTTGCACTCGTTGCACACCAATTCCGTTGATTTCTTTCAGCTATATTGGGCTTACGTTGCGTTTGGTTATTATACACTTTTGGGGCCGGAAATATCGCTGGCGAATGTGTTTTTCGTTATGTTACGGGCTTAGTAGAAGAATTCAATGTAAGCCTGCGAAATCCTAAAACGTCCTGCGAAGCTTCTGCTTTTATGAGGTTCGGCTTGGGGGGCTATAGATGACTCTGTAACTTATGAACGTTGTGGCTGTGCCATTACGTCGTGTAATCTGCTCTTAGAGCCCTTGTCTCTCGTACACCAAATATAGGCTGTTCGTGAAGCTGGCAAGCATAGGTCTCACATTAAAATGCATCCTTCGTGAGCCCCCGAGTTTCAACGTAGTCGCTCCTAGCAGACACATTCACAGGCTGAGACAGGAATCAACTTGTTCCTTCGAGCGTTATTTTTTCTATTGTGCGCTTCACCGGACGCAAAAGATCAGTCGCAAGGTCCTCTGACGTCCTCTCAGTCTATATTGCTTCAAACCTAAACGAAGTTGTCGATTACTTCGCTAAAATAGCCACAACTCTTACCGTAAGAGGAAATGCAATCACTGCCCATCATCATGGCAAACGCTCAGTTGGAACGGAAGGTGCACTAATGTCTTCTGTTAGGAACGATGCATACTCGTAGCCGTAAATGGTACGGAGGGCTGTGTTTGCTATAGAACGTGATAGGCGTCGCTTTTTTCATCCCTAATACTTCCTGATGACCTATCTCCTTATAGTGTTTCGAGTATCTGCATGTTTAGATTGAATCAAATGGTGGCGTTATGAATGTGTTGGAAGCTCGTAATTTCTCGTTTGCGAACATAATTTCTTTGCGGCAGAATACACAAGGAAGTAAAAAACATAATCAGATGAGTGCGGCCGCTACAAAGACGTTACTAATGTACAAAATTAATCTTTCTAACGTATCTACCTATACATATGTGACGACTCTGAGAGCTCCACTTAACATAGGTTTATAATTAGTAATATTATTACCCGATTATTCAGGCGATGGGTTAATACGAGTGCTAAATATATTTCGAGATGACTC